TCATTATTAAGGACAATATCTTATTAGTTTCAAAAATGCTTAAATATGGAAAAGATGTATCAAATGCCTGAAGTATTGATAGTAAATACAAGCACGCCCTTGATTTGTACAGCTATCATCTTTCCTCAGCTGATATCAACAGTCTTCACTGTATTCAGGCAGAACCACTGCGTATATCTACAATCTAGCAGCATATCAAAGGGTAGTTTCCAACTTCACATTCTAAGAGGTATTGTGTAGCTCTCAGCTTCAGGTAATTCTGTGTATGGAACAGTTTATGCTTTTCTTGATGACTCAGTGCCATCACTGGGCTTAAGCTTGAAATATATCAAAGAGCCAGAGGATGCTAAAGGCCACTTGGCTGATTCATGGATGTACTTTGAAGCTTGCCTCATGAATACCTGATTTACCTTACTCATTAAGCTGGATTGACCATTCTGTAGATGAATAATAATGCACAGTCTTAAATATTTTTGGACATAGTCTTATGTCCTTTTTCCAAAACAACAAATGGCTCAGGTACTTCTCAAGAAACTTTCTGAGCTAATTTTCAAATGACAGGGATTTATCTGCCTCTGAATCATTGCATTCCAGTCCAACAGTGCTTAGGTTAGTAAGTTTTACTTCAATTTTCTTTCTTTCTTTCCTTTCTTTCTTTTTTTTTTTTTGACAGGGTCTCCCTATAGAACTCACGTAAATCAGGCCTCAATCTCACAGAGATCTGCCTGCTTCTGCCTCCTGAATGATGGGGCCAAAAGCGTGAACCACCACACCTGGCTCTCAATTTACCCTTTCAAGGGGTTTATTTGAACTTCTTAAAGACATTCTGCCATTTGTGAGATCTTTTTAGATAATTATTACCAAAGATAGATTAATAAAGTTGTTTTACAACTGCCGATACAAATTTTCATCTGTTTGAGTTCACAATGATTTTAGAGTCCCTTATGAAATTTCAGAATTGTGGGAAATATGTACTTATGTGTATACACATATACATATATATGTATACATGTATGTATTATGTATAATTCAAATTGATCCAGTTTGGTTTTAGATTTCTGTTTCTATCTTCCTTAATCATACTTCCTTAGGTCAGAATACTGATACCTGCCTATTATTACATGTTTTCATTACAGAATCCTACTCTACATATTCACTTTAAACTAAAAATATCAACTGGTTGGCATGAACTCTATATAATATTATATACTGCATCTGATGACTAAGTTCGAGCTAATTTTTTTGCCACATATAGGCTTGCATGAAGAAATGAAGTGAAAGAATAATAAAATAAATGAGACTTTCAGTAAATGGTCAGACTGATCTAAGGAACAGAACTAGTCTCATTCAAATCTGCAGTGGCTCTGAAGGACAAAGTGTCTTTGGGTTTGGAAATGTGTACACACGTATACATACACACACACACACACACACACACACACACACACACACACACACACACACACACACCAAGGAGTTCAGGGACAAGCCCATGATTCCTTTTATACACAGATCAGAATCCCCCAAATATCCTCCTTGCATGGGAGTAGCGAGGAAGACCTCCTCAGTGGTAGCCAAGGATTTCTGTCTTCTAGATTCTGCCTGTGAACATCTGTAACAAGACCCAATCTTGCAGCCTCTTGCAGGCTTCATGAAAGGGACCTTATGGATGTGCACCATCTCATTATAACTTGCTAAAAAACATTAAGAACTCTGGGATAGAGGGAAGAAAAAGCCAAGAGAAGAGATGCTGCTATCTGGATCAGAGGGAAATTGATTTTCCAGTTTCAAAATAACTATTATTCTCCATCTAAACACTAATAATCTTTAAATCTCTCCATCAAATATTTGTAATGTCTTAAATCTTGTTGCATGTTTCTAACAACACAAAGAAGACAGTATTTGTCGTACAGACTGTCCTCCCTAGGATGTAGCACATCTTGCTTTAGCTATAGTATAACATATGCTTGCACTCTTTCATAGCAACAATAATGCTTAGGAGAATCTGAGTAACAGCACAGATTTACCAAATTCAGTAATGTTTTAGTTCTATTTTTAGTTTTTTTCACTGCCACACAGAATTTTATTTTAAGACTATTAAAAGCTTCAGTTCAAAAATAAATAAAATGTTGAAAGTACTGTGTATTACTGGTGGCATAGTGGTGAGCATAAACTGTCTTCCAAGGAGTTCTGGTAGTAACAGTCTATAGTAGGGGCATCAAATGTGCTTAGATAAATGCACGCTGGGTGGGAAACAATGACATATTTCTAACAAGGGCAGTGGCAACTGAGTAGAGATGAGAAGACAGAAAGATTGTAGCACCTCTCTCCACACATGAACCATGAGAGAAAATTCCAGCCCCAGGAGTCCTAATTCTGACCCAAGGTTGGATCTTCCTGATAGTCAATCCTCAGCACATATCTCATGACACTTCCTCACTGGTGCCATCCTTTAGAGTACTGACATTTCCCAATACACTGACTTCTATTAAGCTGCATAAAATGTTAAAGAAATGTTATACTGCTACCCTAATAGAAAATTAGAACCAATTCTGCACATTAAAGATGTTTCCTCTCTGAGAAATGGGGGGGGTTGTATACCTCTTAGGCTTGAGGACTCCTGTAAATGAAGCGAGTAGAGTGTTAAAATGATGCACGAGGACAGGCATTTTAGCTGACAACTGATTCCTTCCATGTGTTTATATGACAATTAAAAAGTGTGTATGGCATCAGGACTGAATTGGAAAGATAATCTCACCGTAAAGAACATTAGAGATCATCTATTCAATTGCATTGTGATACAAATTACCTACCAATCGTCCATAGGAGTCAAGATTAACAGGAGGACACGCACAGAAACTGAGCTTCACCAGTCTTCCTCATCAGGATTTATTCAAACATGAATACTTGAGTAAATTGGTGTAGAGTTAAGAAGGCCAAATGCAAACCAAACAAAAATCCCTGAATCCACAGGACTTTAGCTATATGGGTATCTCAGTGCCAGGACTATCTTCAAGTATCAAACAAGCAAGTCAGCTTCACTCCTAAGGCAGAAATTCAGAGACTGGGAAATCACTATTTCAGTAGGCTCTAACCTTCTAGATATTGCTACTGTTTTCACTTTTTTAAAATCACATAGATTATAGAAGTTAAGGATGTTTTAAAATTCAGCCACATCAGTGAAAATCAAGATTGTATCTTCTTGATTGCACACCAGATTTTATTCCACATACGTAATAAATACTGTTTTGTTATTGCGTCCTTCAATTAATAACCTCCATCTTTCTCTTTCAAAGTGTTTTATCTTTCCATTTACCTATGCAGGAACACTGACTGTGAAGAAAGCCTGGTGTTAACAAGATAAGAGATTGTGGATAGGCATCAACAATCTTGCCTCACTCATTAGCCATTCTACCTCTTTCCTGAACCTATGTTTCTATTTTCTGTGACTTGCTGGGTTCTATCTCCCTCCCTCTGTCTTTTCCGTTCCTGTTCTGTGTGGGTTGGTTGTGTTCTTTATTAATATGATTTTTCTAAAGTTTTACATTATCTAGAGATGAATTAAAAACAGATTATATTCTCTGCAATTATATATTCTACCTTTAATGAAAAATGTCCGCAACAGGCTCAGGTATTTGAACGCTTGGTCTCCAGTTGGTGGCACTGTTTGGGAAGGGTATGGCACTTTTAGGAAGTGTAGCTATGCTGGAGGAAGTATGTCACTGGGGATGGAATATGAGTTTACAGCCATACCCCATTTCCAGTTCATTCTCTATTTCCCTTGTGTGGATGAAGATGTGATCAGCCCTCTTCCCAACCCTGCTGCCATGCTGTTCCTGTTTTTATAGACTACAGTCTTCTGGAACCAAAATTATTTTCTTCCTTCAGTTGCTTTTGGTCATGTTATTTTATTGCAGAAACAGAAAAGTGACTAATGCTCTTCATATGAGTCTATGAATGAAGTGAGAAGGTAGGGTAGTCAGCTAGGACTGGCTGAGTCAAAGGCTCTCTACTAGAATAGGAAATGGGAACCAGAGACCTTTTGGGAAATCAAGGTTCGGATCCTACCGGGGCAAAGACCATACACACTGTGAAGATGATAAAGGTGAGCTTATGGGTTGTATCCGTTATATTTCCCGACATCTTTGAAAGCACCCCTTGACTTTGACAGCATGTGAAAGTCCTAACTGTCTTCCATGTAAGCCTGATGTATACTTCAGTTCCGTGCTCAGATCTTGCTGATCAGTGTTGTGTGATATCTGCATATCACAATTACTATGAATTAGACACTGCAATATATAAAGTTCAGACAGCTATCAGATATTATGATTTCCTCAACATACTTAAAGATGTAGAACTCCCAATTTGCCATTCATAATTCTCAGCCATCAATTAACTTCTTATTAATGTTAATAAAACAGCAGAGGAAATCATATGAAACCCAAACTATCTGGAAAGAAATAAAATTACTGGTTATTGTTTATGTGGTAACAAATAGGAAAAGAAATAAAACCAGTTAAATTTTAATCAAAAAGGACCAAATGCAAATCCTGAAATGCAAATCTCCTGTAGCCTGTTGTAAAAAAAAACAAATAATCCAAAATTCTGCAGTAGTTCTCCATCACAGAAGGCAGAACATGTACGTAGAACATGAGATATATAAAATACTCGTAAATGTCCCTCAACAAAGGTCACTGGACATGAGAAATAGTCTTAATGAGCTCCTTGAATATAAGCTCTAAAATGGCATATTTTAAATTATATTTTGATTTTATATTATATTTTATATTGATTATATTTTAGAAAAGACAGAAATTCATTCCTAAAAATATTTTTGAAACTGTTTTGAGTTCTATTTAATTCCAGGATACAACTGATAAAGCTGTTAGATTAAGGTCCCTCTACAGAGAAGGGAAAGAAATGGTAAAGGGACACATTCAAAACTATTAATAGTTCAACTTTGGGCCGGAATAAGAGTTCTAACACTTAAATGACCACACGTAATTGCACAAGCACATACAGCAGGGGTCTATAAACATTCTTAAATTCCAGAGAGGATTTTAGACTAGTGTGCTGCAACTTTCTGGGTCTCCGTAATCACACAGCTCTATCACTGCAGTGCAACAGCAGTCAAGAAATAACAGATACTGAAATAAGCATGGCTGTTCAACCAGGCAGCCTTCTTAGGCCACAGTTTGCTGCTTCCAGACATACAGAATGACTTTCACAGTTGCTTTGACAATCTTTGATCTTTAGAAAGATTTGACAATGGGAAAATGAAGCCAAGCAAAACTATATAAGCCCCTTTGCTTTGATAAAGACTTCATCACTCATCTAATAAAACATTGACTCACACGCAGTTGCTATGGGTCCCGCTCCAAATTACATTTTGGTTTTTGGCCAGAGTCTCCCATATCCCCCAGCTGGTATGGAACTCACTATGTAGACCAGGCTGGCCTCCATCTCAGTGATCCATCTGATTCTGCCTCCCAAGTAAATTGTGCCTTTCTATAAACATGAGAACAGTTTTGTGGCTTAAAACAAAAATATTTATACAACCATTTATACATTTTCATTTTCCTACTATTTAAATGCTGCATTTTCATTCTTTAAACTTTATCTTCATAATGGTTTTAGAGCACTCACCCAAATCTTGCCAGAGATGCTAAAAAGACCAGCCATTCCAGACATCCTAGAAAAGGATGAAAAAAAAGAAAAAGACAAAGAAAAGAACCTCTGATCATGTATACTATGAAATCAAAGAAACCAGAACTCGGGCTAGGGTTGCTGCACCATCACTGACCCCTTTATACCTTGTTCTCTCCTACATTCACTTCCCTTCTTACAAGGTTTAGATTTCATAACTATTATCTAGATCACTGTGCTATAAACACATTCTAAATCCCTGGCCTTTCTAACTTCATTGTACGCACCTTACAAAAAAACACAACCATGAGCAAATTGTCTCTGGGGAAAGACAACATATCCTGGTGACTTCCAAAATGACTGAAAGCCCAACACTGGCCAGTCCTACTGATTCTTTAAGGCTGTAACTAAGATAATTGCTCATTTCATTTAGCCTTATACATTTTCCTTCCCCAAGCACTCTCAGCTAACAATTACTCCTTGAAATCAGAAGCCGTTATATAATCACTCTTATGTTCCTACCATCTCTGAGCCTGGTTAACACTCTTCTCAGTGTTAACAAGAAAGTCTAGTTGCCCTAACACACCACTTCGTCCACCTGTGCCTTGGATCTTCTCTCCTTTGTCCTCTTGATGACAGGATTTCTTCTGTCATCCCTTCTCCCTCCATTAGCCATTATTCCAACTCTGCTGGATCAGTCTCTTCAGGTATTCAAATGTTCCCTCACCTCCATGTTTAAAGGGGCACCTTCACAGCTCACATAGCCCTCCAGCTTCCAGAAAAAAAAAAAAAAAATCTTCCAAGAGCAGTGCTCCCTTGCTATTTCTTGCCAGCACCATGTTTTCAACCCATTCAAATTTGGCTACATTCTCACCACTGCACAACTACATGCCAAAACTCTGACAATGTCCTTTGAGACTTGATCTTTCTTTGCCTCCTGGCTTCATGGGGCACAAGTACTTCAAGTTCTTATTTGAGCACTTTTTATTTGGCTTCTAGAAGGTGCTGCACCCTGGTTTTCCTCCTGTCTCACTGGCACTAATATTTCAATTTCCTTTTTGAATTTTATTCTACTTAGGTGTTTGTGTGCATGTACACACACAACAGCACACACGTGGTGTCAGAAGACAACTTGTGGAATCAGTTCTCTTCTACCACGTGGGATCGAACTCAGGTCATCAGGCTTGGTGGCAAGGATCTTTACCGGCTGATCCAACTCATCACTGGCCCTCAGTTTTCTTTTGATGACTCATTCTCTATCCAAATTCTTTCTCATTTTTTTTTTAAGAATTTAAGCATCATTAAAGTGTTCTGTAATTGTGTTTTTGTGAACTCTCCATTTGAGACCAACCTACATATACTCAGCTTAACAGCTTTATAAAGTCTGTACCTCAGAATAAAAAGTCTAACATAATCTGACATTCTCATGCCCAAATCAGTAACCAATACCAAGATCTACCAAGTATTCAAAAGAGAATCCAGGAATTTTCACTTGCAAATGCTCCTCTTCACTTTGGCCAAGTCTACCTTCAAAATCAACTTTAAATACACTTATTCTCTCTATCTCCATCACTGCCAACCTGGTACAGCACCTCATCCTGGACCCTACGAAAGTCCTAACTGCTTTCTCCTCACCCATTCCTACCCTCTTCAATTGCATCCTAAGAGTCAATTTCTTTTTGCATCTACTTAGAACCCCCTTCCTAACCATGGCCCCGGGCCCTGTACAATCTATCTTCAGCCTACCTCTTACTCAGCCTCAGCTCTGCCTGCTCCTTTCTTTCGGTGCTCCACTCTGGCCACCATGGTGCTACCCAAGCACTCTACCAAGTTCTGTCCCAAATCAAGGCTTATATGTGTGTGGGTACACTCACTTATGGAAATATGCTTCCCCCTGCTTTTGTATCTGGACTAGAGCTCCTTCTAGCCTTCAGATCGAGTGCCCTGCTCCCTTCAGAGCAATCTCTCTGAACACCTCCAGCTAAAGCAGACCCAAGTCACAACAGTCTATCTTAACGAAATATGCTGTTTTTAAACAGCTCTATCCAAATTGTGTTCAGTTTATAGTTTATTTTCTAATCTGTCTTACTAACTTAAAGTTATTTATCTAATAAAGAGAATGGAGAAATCAAGTCTATCTTAGGAATTCATAAATAGCTGACATCTACAATTTCTAGCATAAAAAACAGTGTTCAATTATTTGTATACCAGTGTTCAATTATTTCAATTATTCTTTCAGGATAAGCTGTATGTCTCCTGAGCACTAACACAGATGCTACTGAAATGTTATGTCATTTGCTTCTATGTTAATGTTCATTCAGTTCAGCCTTATCTACCTAAGCATTACCAAGTTATCCCCTGAAGATTCTTCCAGGCAGCCAAACATGCCGGAGGTTTTATTTTTACCTTGAAACACAAGAATCCCTTAGTGAACTATCATTCAAGAAACACCCGTTTGTTCAAAAAAATGGCAACCAGCACTCAATACTACATTTCTAGAGAGGAAATGTAGCATAGCTTAGCATAGTTTGGTGCAGAAGTTGGAGGAGAGGGTTTCTGTAACATCCCTCCCACCTCAATCTAGCCATCAATCACCACTATGCTAAAACTACTTGAAACACACATGGGTCACAAAACCAGAAACACTAGATAGGCCAATTATAGGCAAATCTGGTCTACATAAAAAGAGGGGAACATGAAGAAAAATCTATATTCTTTAGGCTCGCAAGCTAACAAAGTATCCATTATTTCATATATAGCAATTTTTTATTAACTTACGTTAGAGAAGCTGGAGACTTCCAACCAGTCAGAGGCTCAACTGACTGCCATTTCTTCTCCAAGATGTAATTCTGTAGGTCCTCATAGATTCCTGGACCACGGTAACGGCGGAATATCCCATCTTTTGCACTAAAGATTGTAAAATTATGTAGAAAATAAACCAAAATAAGTGTTATATAGAATAATCAAATAATTACTGATCATATGTGAGCTTCTCTTGAATTTTAAATTGGTTCAAATGAAGAAAAATTATAGACATATATTAGAAGGCATAATTATTAATTTTAATAAAAATGAGAAATTCTGAGACTGAAAGCATTAAATATTCTATTTCATCATTGTACAATCTACAACTATATGTTTCTGACAGTACTTTATCTTCCAACTTCCAATCACTTTTGCAAGCAATTATTTTGATTTTTCTAACAAAATAGCCATTGTTATCACAGTTAAAAAATACTGTATTCACATTTACAAACTTGTACCATCCAAGTCTCTCACCACCTAATCAATGGCAAAGCAGCTTAATCTGACACTAACCTTCAACCTTTCCTCCCTTCACCTTCTCAGCCCAGTCAGGCTTCTCAGGAACGTTTACATGCTCCATTTTTCCTCTCTTCATTTCTAACACATTACTGAATGAGACTGGGGGTTCTGTCCCCATGACTCAACTGAACCTGCTCAGCTTTTGTCCCTAATGTACACTACGTGCCACATCCATGGAATACTTTTCTGCCATTTTTTTTCCTTCACCTTTTAGTAGTAGGGTTCACTACTATCTGCTTGAATTCCACCCCCCTCCCAAGTGCTGAGGATAGATTCCAGAGTCTCTGCATGCTAAGTAAGTGCTCTACCAATAGCTCTCCCAGCCCATTTAGCTTACCTTATGACTTGGACTCTCTGGATTCCTTCCTATTACTCTATTCAATGGCAGATGTCTTAATGTGGGTCAATCCTAGGTTCTCTCCATCACCTTCTGCTTCCACTACCATGTGTTCCCTCTAGAGTATTTCAACTGTGATTTAACTCAGAGTTGAGGAATTCCCCATATAGATCTCTAGTTCTGAATTCTACATGCTGACATCCAATCCAAGTGTCACCTAAACTTCTCCACTTGTAATCAGCATACATACTTCACACTATCTTCTCCATTCTGTTTTCCACCTTCAGACTCTCATTCTAAAGACTCCTTAAATGCATGCCAGCAACTGCATTTACTAGTTATAAGTGGATGTTTGTAATCATCAGATGCTTATTCCTGTGGATAGTCACCAAATCATACAGATCTCATCCGGAAGTATCATTGATACTCATCATTCCCTCTCTTCCCCTCATTACCCAGTATGACTCAAATGCATTCTGTGGATCAATCAGATTGAAACAGTTATAGACATCAGAAGGTGTTTCATAGCTTATATATGCTATGTCCCTTACCTTGAAGACCTTCTGCATCTTGCTTGCTTAAACCATTCCTACTTATCTCATCTCACCTTCTATATCATCAGGAAAATTTTCTCTGACTCCTCACTATCTTTTCTCTGCCTGAAATCAGCTTCTCTTTCTCCACAGCACTCCTGGCATCCTCCCTCCTAACAGTTATCACTCAGACCAATTTACTGAGTGGTGGTCAAGGAAAATCTTTCAGGTACATGTACTGATTTATAATCTTTATAAGATCAGAAAATTAATAAAGCTTACTGAAAAAATGCTGGGAGAGTGGTGACAAAGAAACGGCCGCTCAAACCTAGGAAAAGCAGAAACACCACCAGTTACAAATTACATCTGAGTAATCCAAACACCTAAGTGCCCAGAATAAGCATCCTCAAGCCTACTTTCATAATCACATTAACAAATATCATGGGAATTACTGAATCACATTCATCACCTATCTTTTTTAAAGAAAATTTCTCTGTTTCACTCATTTTTATCTACCCAATGGTTTCCACTTACTGGAAGGACTGACATACGACTTTCTTATCTTCCATGTGTTTGCTGTCCTGGAGTTTTCTGGTTTGTGTCCCACATAGGATTGTACAGAAGTTGAAAGAACAGGTTATAGAGTAATGATATCTAAGTTTAAATACTTATTTCCCCTGCTAGTTTTATGGCTTTGGATAACTTTTTTAACCCTTTTGAGTTTCAGTTGCTCCATCTGTAAATGGGGAAAAGTCTAGCTGACTGTTCTAGGATTAGATTAGTTCAAGGATGTTAATAGTACAACATGATTCCTCCATATACTGAAGAACTCAACAAATTACAGTTATTAACTACCTCAGCTGTCAATGTGGAAAGACCAGTAAGTTCTTCTTTGGAGGGTAGCCACTGGTAGGATGCCCATACGTACAATACTAACTGCACTTTGTATATTTTTTTAAAAATACACGAAGGTAGGAGGGAATGTGATACGGGGTCTATAGAGAATTGGAGGGGGCAAATGGGAAAAAGATATGATCATATTTCATCACAACATGTAGGAAATTCTCAAAGAATAAATTAAGAACAATAAAAAGACTAATAAAGAAAGTAAAAGCAGGGCCTAGTGACACATACTGGTAATCCCAGCATTTAAAGTTTGAGGAAAGTCTAGTGTATATATCAAGTTTCACTTACCACTAACATATCTGAATTACTTAAAAAGACTTAAAATATTGAGTTACATATAATCATTGTATCTTTATAAAAATTGAAAGTATTGCACATGAATGCTACATTTTTCAATTTGTTTTAGCAAACATTTACTGACTACTAAGTACATATCAAATGCTATACTACCCATATAAAGGTAAATAAAATAAAATAGTATTCATTCAGCAGCAGTTACTAAGACTCATTTTTGTTCGAAGAACTGTGATGAACTAAATAGGTTTTCTTTGTTCTCACAGAACCCAGAGGGAAAGAAGCTAAACAATCACAATCATGACTCAAGAGCATGATACCAAGAAAAAAGAGCACGCAGTAGAGCCCTGACTGAGAAGAGCAGTGGAAAGTAGCTCTCTGGCCTTTAAATGTTTATAAATAAATTATATTTGCAAATAAATTATACTGAGGTGGGCATCAGCAATGAAGGACGGGAAAGAACACAGCATGGGAAAATGACTGAGGCATGGTTTAATAACCACTTTTTATTTCTCTCTCTCTCTCTCTCTCTCTCTCTCTGAAGAACAAACTCAACAAAATCAAATATCTATGCAAATTAAGCTGTTCAAATTTTTTCATCTCTTTGCTCAATTGAAAATTTAAGCTTTGCTTTCAATAACATGGGGAATTTCCTTTTACCAATTTTATAAAATAAACCTATATTTCACATAATACTTTATTAATGACAGAAGGATTGTTTTTCATTACCTACAAAGTGAAAACATGACTACCTTGGACACACAAGCATCATCTAAGTTTGTGGCTGCAGAGTTTAAAGGCAAAAAAGAAAATGCAGATTCTAAAGAATTAAAAAGCAAGGAAGCAGTCATTTCCATATTTACATAATGATTTGTTACAAGCTTTAAACAACTCCACAAAATACTGAAGAGAAGGCACAGTGGCAAACATCTGCAATCCTAGTTACACAGGACATTGAGACAGGATTATCCCAAACTGTTAGTAGAGGACTACCAATACTCTAAGCATAGGTTCTAAGCCAGCCTAGATAACATAGTGAGACTCTCAAAATTAAAAAGTAAAATTTAAAAAGAAGGCTGGAGATCTAGCTCGGTGGCAGCAGGCTCACATAGCATGTGCGGACTCTGGGTTCATTTCCCAGTAGCACCCTCTTCTAGCCCCCCAAAGAAAAAATGTTACAGAAGAAGGAAATATACTCCTGACCCTTCAAATAGAAAATAGGAAGCTTGACTATAATCTCCCTAATTGTCTACATGCCTTTATCTTCCATTTTAAAATGAGGGCTGTAGTACAACATAAAAAAGGCAAAAATACAGAACATACAAAATTGTCTTATCACAAAACTGACCAAAAACACATATGACAACAACAAGAAAAAACAACCAACCAACCAACCAAACAAACAAACAAAAAGCCCTAAAAGCTTAGAGGAAGAAATCAGATGATGTCAGGGAATTATATTTTGATTTGCAAAAGCAACAGAAATTAAGTTCAATATTAAGAATACAGAGGCTAATGGCTTATGTTCTGCTACTTAAAAGCTATGATGCTTTGGCTCCTGTTACTAAACTTCTGACCTTAAGTTTCTTTATGTTTTCGGAAGAGATTGTTTTTTGCTTCTTTGCTTTCTTCAGACAATGTTTCCCTATAGCCTCAGCTGGCCTAGAACTCACTATGCAGACCAGGTAGGCCATGCCTCCTCAGTGCTGGGAAGACTTGTCATAAACAGTTTTCTTTCACAGAGTTGCTATAATGCTAAAATGCATGTAAATGATATATCACAATTACAGGAAAACATTTAGTAATGCTTACTAAACGTTGGTATCCTCAAAGACAAAGAAAGAAAAGTACAACTTTGGCATTGAAATAAAGCTGCAATGTAACAGAATACAAAGGTTTGTTTTCACAATTACAAAATTAAAAATACTATACTAGCTATACAATAGTAAACTAAAGTGGCTTCTGTATTAAATTGGTAGTTTGAAACATTCTTGCCAGTAGAGGTGCTCTAGCTTCCTTTTAATCTAGTGACACAGCTACCACCCACGTGTGATGGATCAATAGCTGCTGTTTTCCCATCTTTGACAACTAGGTTTATCTGAACAGAAGGTTCTAGTACCTATTCAGTAAGTTTAACTTCACGAAGGACTCAACCAACGTCACCAGAACTATTAAATAAGCAATGTAATGTGACCTAATCTACGGTTTAACTTGTCCTTGTCTTCTACACCACAGCTACTAAAAGCACGACATATCTACTATCCCTTGACTTGTTAATTCTGAAATACTATTTTTGAATATATGAAAGAATCTATAGATATGCTGATAGAACAATTTTAGACATAGATACAAATAAGTAATAGGCATAAATATTTCAGAAAGTCTTGCTTTCTCTTAATATTAAATTTTACTTGCAAAGAAAAGAAATGAAGTTGTTCTTGATTAGCACTCCTGGGGACAAGAGAACCCCGATGAAAGAATATACATAGAAATCTGAAACACACAGAAATATCCAGTTATGTGCTAAACTGGGGGGAAATGGTATTATTTTAATGGTATTTTTCTACTGCTCAATGAGGATATTAGACTTTGCAAAAACTAAGTATTTAAGATGCTTCCAGGAATCAGACAAGTGGATGCCTGCTAGACTCTCCCACCACACTGGCTATACCTCTTCTGTTGCCAATTCCTTTTGTTAGGAATTAGTCAGCTTTTCATTGCTGTAATAAAATATCTGCCATAAACAAGCTACGGGAGAAGGTTGGGTTTAGCGATGCTTTCAGAGGTTTCAGTTCACACTCCGCTGACCCCACTGTTTTCAGGCTTATGGCAAGGGAAAAACAGCACGGAGGAAGGGCATGGCAGAAGGAAGCTGCTCAACACAGGGCATCCAGGAAGGAGACAGGATGGGGATGGAGATACTCTTTCTAGAAAATGCCTCCACCTCCAACCTACTTCCTCCAACTCAGCCTCATATCCTGAAGTTCTACCCAATCCAAAATAGCATCACTATCTGGGGACCAAGCCTTCAATACATGAGCCTGTAGGGGACATTTTATACTCAAACCATGAAACATTTCCCCCAATTTTTTCTTCTCTAGAATATACCCCATTAGTATTACTCACACATACTGAGTAATCTCATATTTACCCCTGGCTCAAACAGCTAAAGAGATGATTCTCAAATTCTCGCTATTCTCCATCTTGATTTAGATGTCTAGTTAGCATTCTGAACTTCCCTCTGTCCCCAAACTGATCCTCCTCACTGTTCTCCACTGTTCCACCGCATCTTATAACTAATGCATCAGAAAATTCTAACAGCTAACTATTATGGCTTCTAGTCTAAGCTACCATCTTCTCAACTCTTTACTGCACTAATACCTCAACTCTTCTACTTTTTCCCATTTCTGACCCTGGGAATCAAGTTTTTCACATAGCAAAGGAATTTTTAAATATGAATTATGGAAAGTTTCTACTCAAATCTTCTAAGCACGTCCTTTCTTCCTTCCATACTTTGTATAAAATCCAAACTCCATGCCATAGCCAATAAGACCAGTATGGATCCTAGCTACCCCTAGGCCCCGGTCATACTGCTTTCCAAATAAGCCAAGTATATTCCAACCTATACATGGTATTTGACCTGCCTGGAATGTTCGCCCAAAGTCTGTTCAAATTCTCCTGCCTTACCTTATCGAGACTTCTTACTAAACTGGCCTTTCCTTACACCATGCTAACTAAAAAGTAGTGGCTCGATTCTTACTGTATTAATTACTTTTTCTGTTGCTGTGATAAAACAACATAAGCAACAGAAGAAAAGAATTTGGCTGACAGTCCCAGAGGGAGAATCCATAAGTGTAGGCATGATGGCAGGAGATTGCCAGAACAGAAAAATGAGAGAGACAGACTGGAAATAGGCATGGCTATGACCTCTCAAAGCCTGCTCACAGAGATGTGCTTCCACTAGCAAGGCCACACTTCCTCCCCAAAAAGGGCCATGAATTAGAGACCAAGTGTCCAAATATTTGAAGCCTATGGAGAACATTCTCATTCAAACCATGACATTCTACTCTCTGGCCCCCAAAGGTTCATGACCATATATATCATAATGTAAAATACATTTAGTCTAAACTTAAAAGTTGCTGCAGTCTTTTAACAGTCTTTGCACCATGTAGTACAATACCCACAGAGGTCAGAACATGATGTCAGAGTCCCTGAAACTGGAGTTAGGGATGGTTGTTAGCCACCACATGGGTGCTGGGAACCAAATCCAGGTCCTCTCCAAGAGCAGACAGTGCTCTTAACTGCTGATTCATCTCTCCAGCCCCCTACAGTCTTAATATTATTTACAAGTCCAATGAGCAAAGTCTCTTCTGAGACTCAAGGCATTCTCGTAACTGTAACTCCCTGCAAAATAAAAAAGATGAATTACATACTTCCAACATACAATGACCCAGAGTATACATTCCCATTTCGAAAGGGAGGAATAGGACATGTTGACTAAATACTGGACCAAAGAAGTAGGTTAACACCAAATCCAGTAGCTCCATGTTCGATATCTAGGAATTTACTCCCAAAGGGCTTAACTAGTTCAGCCCCTCCAACTTTGCTGCATGTAACATACATCTCTTTCTTGGGCTGGGAGGTATATTCCCTATATATAGCTCTCCTTGGCAGATGTCTCGTGGCTCTGGCATCTACAAACACCTTGGGGTCTCCACTGCCAACCAGGCTTCACCTTCAGAGCTTCACACAATGGCCTTTCAGGGTCTCTTGGCCTATCAGGAACTTCTTTATGCAGGAACTCCCCTGGCACATTCTGCTTGGACTCTCTGAAACCTCAGAGGAAGAACAGATAACCCCCTCACTCTTGCATCTTTCAGCCCTCTAAAACCACTACCACATACATGAATGGCATTACCAAGTTTGGTTATCAGTTTGGGATGGACCTAGGCCTCTTCATCCACATTACCAGCAGCTACTTCCCTATGTTGTAGATTTCCAGAAACAGAAAATCCCTTAGGCCTTCTCCTCTCAAAAGGAAGTTTAATTGGGTAGGGTCATGTCCTGAGGGTACTCTTTCCATAGTTCAAGTGCAAATCTGGTGGCCTCTCTTTAATGACTCTAATCTCCTTATGAAAGAGTGCCTCTCCTTCAGCACATGCCTTGGCTCCAAACATTAAGCTTTCTAGTGTTTTCTCTCCAAATTGTATATTTCGTATTTTTTTCTTCCCCACTTGATCTTTTTAACTGTAGATATGTATCAAATTCACCATTAATAGCAATGCCTCTGATTCAACATTAGGCTGTCTTGCAATTTCCTCTGTAAAAGAAATCAATCTATTACCTTTCAACTTAGCCTCAGGGGTGTTCTCAGGCTTAGGGCAGACAGCAGCCAAAGTGTCTGCCAAATAGTACAGTTGGTAAGTTGTTAAGTACTTATTTTCCTCTCAGCACTACTTTTTTTCCCAGGATTCTACAAGAATGGCCTGTTAAGCTGTTTAAAGGATCCAACCACTTTTCTAGTCCAAACTTCCAAGGTCTTCCATATTCCTCCACAAACCCATACGGTGACGCTCTTTACAGAAAAAAAAACATCTGTATTTTATTGGAATACACCCAGCCTATGTTGTTCGGCAATTTATGAACAGGTATAGTTACTTTCCTGATGCTGCAATAAAACACAATGACCAAGGCAACTTATAGATGGAAGAGTTTATTTGGCTTATGGTTCCAGAGGGAGAGTCCATAATGGCAGGAGAGGCACAGTGGCAGGAGATGGCCAAGGCACAAAGTTCAGGGCTCCTATCTTCAAACAGACACAGAAAGCAGAGAGCCAGACAGGGTACAGGTATGGCTATACACTCCCAAAGCCTGCCCCCAGTGACATGCTTCCTCCATGGCCACCCCTTCTAAAGCTTCCATGACCCTCCCCAAACAGGCCATGAACTGGGGACCAAATAGTTGGAGCCTATGGAGGACATTCTCATTCAAACCACCACACTTAACAGTTTTATCCTATCCATCCTATTTAAAAAATAAGAGGTTAGATTCTCACATTACTCTATTTTGCTTCACAGCTCCTACTATCATCTGGTATTTGCTTCCATCTGAGTTTCGTTATTATCTTCTTTATTAGAATGTAAGCTGAATGGGAAGGTATGTCTCTGTCTTCCCTAAATCACTTCTGTATTACTTGTATCTAGGGCTAGCTTGGAGCAGGGTAGGAACTCAAAATACTCATTATTTCTAATCCCTATTAAAAGACTAGTAAAAGTATCAAGTTTGTAATTGAAAGTAAAATTATAAATCTAAACCATTATAGCCAGAAGCATAAAGTCATATATCAGTTACAGACATGTTTTACAAAATACATCTTCAGGTGATCTGTTGTTACATGAGTCTTATAGAATATACTTACACAAACTAGGATACCTATATCATCATTAGGCAGTAAGATCTTACAGAACCACCATCAAATGCTTAGTCTAGCCTCAACCATGAACTCAATATATAATCAGTGACCATATTCCTAGGCCTATCAAACAATCAAAAATGCAGAATCATGTCCTCCAATTTTTTATTTCTGAGTTGTAGTTAAGTTCTTATCATTTCAAAGAATCTTAGTTTTTGTTAGAAGAACTGTCCTAAAATAAAATGGTTGAGTTTCTCTATTTTTCTTACAGACAGAATGACACATAGAGAAGTTATTTTTCCTTCTTTGAGAAGTATTCCAAGTACAGTTAGTTTACATTTACATAAAACAATGTGTTAGTAATAAGCATTTTTAAAAAATGCCTATGTAACCAATTTCTCTTTATCCCTAATCAATATGCAAAGGAAATGTGAGAAATATATATTTTAATGGAAAGTCATACTAAAGATTGGAATTATGAATCCATCACAAGCATTTTTAATTCTTAGTTCAAATCAAACTATGAATGTACAGCAGGATACTAAGTAACTGAAATGCAGATAGAACAGCTATACCATACTAAAGTGTATCTGACTAAGAGGTCTTACATCAGTTTATAATGGATTTAGAATACTAAAAGATGAAAAAAAAATGTTGAACAAAATGTATTTGCAATGATTTGATTTACAAAGTAGCTTAATATCACAAGCTCATGAACTAATAGCTGTAATTGTCCATCTCTGACTAGAATATGGGCAGAAGTGGCTGTTCCAGATGTTGTAAAAAGGTAGAGATTTGAGGAATCAAGGCTTTAACAGAAATCTTTCCATAGGTTTGTCTATTCATCTTAACATAAGCCGAACATTTTCTTGTCCAACTCACTGATACTTTATAACTTTGTATCTGAATTTACAGTTATTACATGGAAACGAATAGCTGTTCTTCCTATGCCTGTATTCTTGTTCCCCTTTTAAAGAGATGCAGTAGCAAGAAACAGAATTCTAGTAGGAAGAGATGACTACTACAATTTGAAAATACCTACATTTTAAAGATTTCTATCACAAAAGCCCATTTTTTTCTTCTTTATGCAAATAGCTATCTTAAAACTATAAATATTATGTTAACATTTTAAAATTTAAAAATTGTCTCGTCTCGTGCATTTAGGGGAAAAACTGAGTCTTTCTCTTGATAAATTATAGTTCATAAAGACATATGAATTGACTAGATTAGTTGACTATTCTGGGACTCAAAATGAAATACCTGATTCAGGAAAGAATAGCATGGATCTTAAAACACCAAAGTACCATCGCTCAGATTACTCGCTAATTAAAGTGGGGTTGTTCCTTTCAAGATACTTGCTGTTTCCCGTTTAGATAAGTACTCAAATCTTAACTTCACTAATGATGACAATCCCAGCCTCCTGATGAAATGCAACATGAATTCATGCCACAGCACTACCTATAAAGTACTCTTTCTATAAGCCGAACAGAATCACACCACTATACCAAACTTCCTGTTTACAAAAATGAGAATAAGTTGGGTCGTAAGAAAATGCCTAGAAATCCTAGTCTATTCTCTTAAGTACATTCATGTCATATAAAAGAGAGGATAATTCTAGATTGAGAAAAACTAAAAACACCTAAAAACAAAATGTAGGCAGAAATAGGTGGTACATACCTTTAATCCCAGCACTTCAGAAGCAGAGGCAGGTGGATCTCTATTAGATCAAGGCCAGCTGGGTCTACAGGTAGTAGGCCAACTGGTGCAACATGGGACTATAGAAGAAGAAAAGGGAGTGGTATAGAGAAACAGCTCAGTGGTTAAGAGTCCTGGCTGCTCTTCAGAGGAACTGGGTCCAAATCCCAGCTAACAACCATCCACAACTCTAGTTCCAGGGGAATCATATGTCTTCTTCTGTCTTCCACAAGCACTGCATGAAATAGGTGTACTTACATGAATGCAGGCAATACACATAGAGATTATACAAAGAGCCATAGGAGATTTAACATGCTAAAAGCAAAGTAAGTGGTGAACTATCATGATGCTTACAATTTATTGCCACATAGCAATAACAATAAATACAAATATGCATGCACATGTGTATAGATAAACACCCACATATAGTCTCAGATAGGCCAAAATGTAAGCTGTTGATTCAAGTTGGTCAGTTCAACATCCTACTTTGCAATTTTTCTGTATGACTGAAAAATTTCAAAATTAAACAGTTGTTAAACATTCCCATATGAAAGTCACCATTTATAATACCTGGTTCTTGAATGACATCTATCTTTCCCACGCTGATTTGAAGTGTTTCACCATTCTTTGCAAAAGTTTCCCATTCGGAATCAGTCTGCTGGCAGGATGGACACCATGGGGCATAACTGTAAGAGAAGAATAATGAATGAACAGAAAGTATGTGGACTAAAATCTAGAAAACAAATAGAATACTCAAATTAAAAAGTAAATTCTAACTAAAGGAGAATGAAAGCAGGCTTTCCCAATATCATTTGACATAGAAAAATGGGAGTGTATTCCCCCCAGGAT